CTCGGGAGCGGCCTCCGTGGCCGCCGCCAGGCTCTGTGCGAGGCGGCGGGGGCCACCGATTCTCGCTGCCCTTGGGCTGCTGGGCTGCGGGACTGACCAGCAGGAGGCAGGGGCGGCCTTCCTGCCCTTGCGAGCCCTGCTGGGGGGTGGGCAGGGGCCGCGGTCGGGAGGAAGCGCGACGCTGCTCCGCGGCTCATGTGCCGCTATCTCGTGAGCAGGAAGCGGGAGCGGCGCTCACCACGGCCGATGGGCGATAAGCAGGCAGCACGCGAGCCCGACCTCGCGCAGCGGCCGGCCAGCCGGGCCAGGGCGCCTCCCTGCCCCGGAAGAAGCAGCGGCCGCGGGGGCAGCGGGAGCACAGACCAGGGCAGGCACAGTGGCCACTTCCTAGTGGAGAGCCGACCGGGCCGGGGGAGGGCCTCTGCCAGTGGCCGCAGCTGACCCAGAAGCAAGGGGCTCGGAAGCAGGGGCTGGGTGCAGCGGAGGCCCCCATGGGTCGGGCCATGCCGGGCAGGGCCAAGCAGGCCCCGGTGCCAGTCAGCAGCCGGCAGCTGGCCCCATCCTGGGTCCGAGGGCCCCCAGTCCCACTCAAGCCGTAGGTGTCACTGGTCACTGCTCAGGGCTCCTTGGGCACAGGAGGGACATCACGGAGACAGGCCACCCGGTCCTCGGCCTGCCCCCTGGCCTGGAGATGCCCGGGGGCACCTGGCTGGCATGGCCATGCTGTCCTTTCCAAGTTCCACCTCTTCCCTGGCCCAGGGGAGGGTCCTGCAGGCCGAACGCCACCCCCCCCCAGCTGGCCTCTCCTCTCCTGGCATCTGGGGGTCCTGCTGGCGGGCACCTCTGCCGCGGGCTGGCCAGGTGGACCCTGGTCTGGGACCTGCGCACCCATCTGGGTTGGCTTCCTGCACATCTCTGTCTGCCCTTGGAGTGGACCTTACATGCTTCATGGGGTGGGGGTGGGCTCCCGGCGTTCTTGCCCCCAAGTAGCTGGTGAGAGATGGTGGGGTGCAGGTTTGCTGTTTGAATGGACACAGGCCCAAGGGGGAAGGGAGCAGGAGCCAGCCTGGCACCTGGGGCCGAGCTCGGGCACCTGGACACGGCTTCCCGTGTGCTGACCGGCTGGGGGCAGGGGCCAGGGGCCAGATCAGGAGGCCTTGGGAAGGTGGCTGGGACCTGGGTGACCAAGGGGAGGCTGGGCTGGAGAGGACAGGGCGCGGGGTGGCCAGCTGACAGTGGGGTCCTGGTCCCCGGCGTTGGCCCTGCTGCCGCCCGGGTGGCTCCCAGACATCTTGGTTTCTCACTGGTCCTGCCTGGCACTGCCCTCATGCAGCCTCCTGGGCCCCCGCCTGGGCGGGCCGGGCCAATGAGGGCAGGGACCGGAGTGGACACAGCTCCATTTGGTCACACGATGCCCCAGGCTGCCTCCAGGTGTCCTCTGTAGCCCCTCCAGGGCTGGGGGGCTGGTGTGTACCCCCAACCCTGGCAGCGGTTCCACCACAGCCACCAGGTGGAGGCGGCCCTTCGGCCACCCCAGCAGCGCCCCCACTGGGCTTACTCACCCCACTCTGCAACCCAGCTCACCCTGCCCAAGGGGTCTCCCTCTGCCCTCAAGTCTCCCAAGGCATTGGCACCTGGAGGGCGTCGCCTTTGCCACCCTGGGCCGTGCCTGAGGCCCTCCTGGCCTCCAGTGCCCACTTGCCCTAGTCCCCACGAGGGTCAGCCTGCTGCGGGGCTCTGGGCACACTGCCCCTCCCTTCTGCCAGCAGGCTCCCAGGCCGCCCCTGCCACTGGGCAGCTGTCCTGCAGGACGCCAGGGCCCGGCCAGGACAGGCCAGTGCCTCTGCACCCAGCCCCGGACAGGGTCCCCTCTCAGACCTACCTCCCGGGGGCCTGGCAAGTGGGGCGGCCCTCAGGACCCCCAGCCTGGAGGCACCTCCGCTGCAGCCAGTGCCCTCAGCGACTGGGGAGACAGCCTGGCCGCCTCGCCCACGCCCCACGCCCAGCGCCCACAGCCCGACATCCTGGGCGGGCCTTCAGGGAGCCCTGCCCTGCACCGCGCGGCCCCAGGGACAGGCCCGCTGAGCCGCGCCCTGGGCTGCCCAAGGGCGAGGCAGTGGAGACAGGTGCACCCGAGGGGCGATCTCAGCTGAGATCCCACCTCACCTCCCCGGAGCCGCCCGGGGTCGGGCTTGAGCTCCAGCCCCCTCCGCGTGCCCTCCCTACCCCCAGCGCCGG